CAGGCATCTGACCTCTAAGTGACCAAGGCAGGTTTATGGCAAGCACATGTTCGGCTGTTATGGCTGCCAAAAGGGAAGCTGGTTCCTTCACTTTGTGGGGCAGACAGGAAGAGGGGCCATGACTAGGTAACAAAGGTGGTAAGCTTCCATGATAAGCCCCTTTTTTTCCTCACCCTCCTGACCTGAGACAAAAGCCTGGCAACTTAAAACAAAGGCCTTGTGGACTTTTCTCCTACCAGCATGCCATGCTCCCCTTGCACCACCCCACTCACTCACCCATCCCCCATCCCCCCAACCCTGTCCTCGTCCCTGCACCCATGGGGTGGCTCAATAAATTCAAGGCCACATCAGGATGCTTTTATACAACAGTTGTGGGCCATCCTGTCTTTTTCAAAATGACCAACCCTATAGGAAGACTCTTCAGAGACAAAAACAAACAGCAAACAGCCCTCAAGAAGAGACTAGAGCTCTGGGCTTCCCGAGTCCCTCCTTTACAGAGGCTCTTTTTCTCTGTGTATCTGCTAATGCCTGTGCCCCCACCCCGATAAAAAAAAGCCTTTCAACTGCTGATTTCTGTCTGCTCCTGTTTCCTGTGTTCAAGATTTCTCAGATGCCACCTGTAGAGATTTTCTTCCTGCCTTTTAATTATTTAACAGTGAAGACAGACCCCCTAGAGGAGCTGGCACACATATTTGATCCCATTATGGGGAAGCAGAGGCAGGCTGATCTCTGAGTTCAAGGTCAGCTGTACAGAGTTCCAGGACATCCAGGGCTATACAGAGAAATCCTGTCTCAAGAAAACAAAACAAAAACAAAACCATAGACAGTAATAGTGTTCTTCCTGTTTGTTTCTTGTTTTTTGATTTTTCTGAGACAAGCTTTCTCTACATTATAGTCCTGGCTGCCCTGGAACTCGATTTGTAGACCAGGCTGTCCTCAAACTCACAGAGACCTGCCTACCTCTGCCTCCCAAGTGCTGGGATTATAGGTGTGTGCCACCACTGACAGGCACTTTTCTTGTTTTTTTTTAAGCCACTCAATTTGTCGTTCTTGGTCCCAGAACAGACAGCTAACCAGACAGCTATTAGCATTTGAAGGAATTCTGAGAGTAATTCAAGGCAACTGCCAATAACCAAACCAGTGAATTAATTGTTCTGTAGAGAATATTCTTTTCCACATATGTGTATTTTATTTCTAGGAGGAAATGCATTTGAACACGCAGGCTCTCTCACTATTATGTATGTATGCATTGTGACTTATTAGCTGGATTCCAGAACTCCTCTATAGACAGCAAAGCCAGTCCTCCCGTGAGACTTCAGAATAGGCTGGAAGCTCTGGTCTTCCCCAACATGTAGATGAACAGTTTAAATTCTGGGCAAAGCTTGTGCTGGTTGAGGAGACAGACCCTGGGAGGACAACTCTGGCTGCTCATTGCTGCTCTTCGGCTCTTCTCTTTTACATCTGACACCCAAAAAGCTGAGGATTTTCATCAGGAGCAAATCTGCCATTTCTCCTTCCTCCGACAGCTGCAAGAAGAGAGGACCAAGTGATGTATCTGGAACTACCCCAAGGTTTTACTGTCCTGTTTGGTCCCAGGGCTGAGGCTACAGCTAGGTGGTAGAGCATGTGGTAAGCTCAAAGCTCTGGGTTTCATCCTCAACACCATCCCATACTGGATACAGAAAGCTTTGGCTGGTTACTGCACCTGAATTTAAGTACCAGCCACCTCCAGACACCTTGCAGGGATGACTGTCACCCATCTCACTCAGCCCTGCAGTGGTGGTTTTTTCCTTTGCTATATAATTGCCACTTTTGTTTCCTCTGCTTACCTCTCAGTGTAGCCAGCATGGGACGGATTGGGATTTCTGGGGAATGAAAAACTAAATAGGCATTTCTCACTATAACTTTCCCATACTTAACCATAAATGATGGGCAGATAGATAGATAGATAGATAGATAGATAGATAGATAGATAAGATAGATAAGATAGATAGATAGACAGACAGAGCTTTAAACTAAAGAAAAAGATGTGATGGCATACACCTGCAATCCCAACCCTTAGAGGCTAAGACAAAATCCAGCCTGAGCTGTATATCATGAGCATGTCTCATTCATAAACAAATAAGGCAAAGCAAAAACAAATTGTAGGACATAAGAATGGCAGGCCATACTTAAAGGCTATAGATAGAGCCATGTAGATATGGTGGAATGTGTTTATAATCCCAGCACTTGGGAGGCAGAAGCAGGAGGATCAGGAGTTCAAGGCCAAAATGAGATCTTATCTAAAACAAACAAACAGCAAAACTGTGCATATATCAACAAAGCAGCCCTATTGGCTTAGGGATCCAGAGTAACACCACTTAACCAATTGATGGGGGATGTCCTGTATGCTGTGAATATATGTTTCTCTTATTGGTTGATGAATAAAGCTGTTTCAGCCAATGGACAGGCAGGATGTAGACAGGTAGGAAATATAGGCAGGGCTACCAGACTAGGAGAATTCTGGGAAGAGGAATGCAGGGAGTGAGTTGCAAGATGCTATGTAGCTGCTGAGAAAGCAAGAGACTTGGGCATCACTGGTAAGCCAAGACCATATGGAACTACAAAGATGAATAGAAATAAGTTACTAATTAAGAGAAAGCTAGCCAATAAGAAGCCTGAGCCATAGGCCAAACAGTTTATAATTAATATAAGCCTTTGTGTGTTTATTTAGAACTAAAAGGCTACAGGACTGGGCCGGCAGAAACTTCTATATACAACCAATTACATCAACAATGACTCTCCTCTCCAATATAGTCTTATATGGAAATAGTGGAGCTTAGCACTTTAACCTGTTTTTTCCTAGGGAACAAAAATTCAGTCCTTAACATCTGTAACTCCCCTCCAAAAAGGTTCTTAGACAATGAAAACATGGGCAATATTTAGTTGCAAAAGACTATGCAGACCCCATGTGATCTGTGTGTTAGAAGGCCAGCCTGATCTACATTTAAAAAAAGAAAAAAAAAGCGAGTTGCTGATAGATACTACATGGATGAGCTTCAAAAATATTGTCCCCAAGCTGGGGGTTGTGGTGCATGCCTTTAATCCCAGCACACAGGAGGTAGAAGCAGACAGAGTTCTGTGAGTTCGAGGCTAGTCTGGTCTACAAAGTGAGTTCCAGGACAGGATCCAAAGCTACACAAAGAAAGTCACAGACTGGAAAGATGGCTCAGCAGCTAAAAGCACTTGATCTTCTTGCTGAAGACTCAGGTCCATTGCTAGCACCCCCACTGGGCAGCTCATAGCCATCTGTAACTCCAGTTCCAGCGAATTCCAGTTCTGGCCATACAAACACACAGGCACACATACACATATACAAAAATAAATAAAATAGTATTGTCCTAAAAGGAAGCAGTCAGATACAAAAGCACATACATATATGATCCCATTTATATAAAGAATAAGTCAAAGGTTCAGTTCACCTGATCATAATTTTGCTCCTCACTGAAGGCCACCAGAATGACAGAGATAAACAGATTCAGTACCACGAATGTCATAAAAACTATGCAGGACCCAATGAGGAAGGAGCCAAGAACTGGGCTGTAGTCTAGGACCTGCCAGGGAGAAAGCCAGTCATTCCCATCTCCTGTAGTCACCATCCCCCGAGAAACCCTCAGCAGCAAACCAGGCCCCTCTGAGCTGAGTAGAGTCAGGAAGAGGCCCTCTGCCTAGGGCTGGGAGTGTGGCCTGAGCTCTCCAGGAGCTGGCCCAGAAGGTGTATGAGCTGCACCCATGCCCACCACTGCTTCCTCTAAACACAGGCACCATTTCTAGCTAGGGCTGGGAATTTCTGCAACCCAACATGGTCCTCCTGAGAGTCTGATGTTCTGCAAGCAGGAGTCCCCAGAGTAGGCTGTCTAAATGTAGGGGAAACATTTTTATTCATCTAGAGAAGCCCTGTGCTTGCCAGGCTCTGCACTGCATTCAAGGTAGTAAAGGGGAAGGTGGGCAGGGAGTGATTTTCTAACACACAGATTTGGCACAGATTGCCGTGGCCATGCTAACCCCCACTACCATTACCTCTTCGTAGTTGAAGATCCCCAGCTGAAGGCTGACCATTGTTTCTGCTGCATCAAAAAGGGTTTTGTAGGAACGGAGTTTCCAACCAAATATTAAGTTTGACTGTCACGGAAAGAGTCTTCATGAAGAGGGAAAGAAAGTGCAAAGCCCCTCCCCTAGTCCTGCTGTCCGAGACAGGGACTAGGATGTACAGTGGAAGTGAGGGGTTAGAATGGAATGCAGACAAGGACACACGGGCTGGTGATGCATATGATCTGTGAGTCGGGAGAGATGTAAGACTGGAAAAAGCTGGGCGAGAGATGACAAAGGCATGGCTAAAAGTCACAGACAAATGGATGCACTATACTGGAAAATCACGGACCTATTGTACCTCAGGGTCAGAATGTGCATTTGGATAGAGAACAGGAAGAGGCCAGAAGTCTGTTTCTTATTACTTGATAATAAGAAAGAGTCAAAGACTCAAGGTTGGTCATGGTCATTGGCTATTTTTTTCCCTAGTGACAGATGTAACTGTCAACATGTAGTGTTAAGCAGCTGAATGAAACAATATTGGCACTACCGAGTCCAAGTATTTAGGACTGCACCCTCATCTCTCCACCTCTGCCCTAGCTCAAGGAGACGGTGGTCCAATTCACCCACAAGCACAGTAGGAGCCCACAGTTCATGCCTGGACAGTAGCCATGAGGCTTCTAAGCAACTGGGGTATCAGAACTGACAGCTTGAGCAGGCCTAGCTGCAGAAAGCAGTCCATCACGAGAGGTCACTGTGTCCTTTTGGTCTCAGACGTTGTAATGTGTGACTCCCATTCTACTAAGGTCCAATCTTTGTTCTTAGAGGTGGTAATTTCATAAGGTCCCATCTAAAAGATCCTGGATCCACAAGTTCTGTCATTTCCTTTGAATTCTCAGTCTCCCCCTAACCGTGACAAGTAGCCTTTACTTCCATCAAGACCTGCCCTGAGGTTTTCCCAAAGGAAGCACTCACCGCAATGGAATAAGCCAGGAGCATGATAAGGATGACGGTGACAAAGCCTGAAATGTCACCCCAGGCACGTCGTAGTGCTGATGTGATCATGTTCATTTTGGGATTCAAGCGGAGCAGGTGCCAAAGCTTCACTGTGGACAGCAGGACAAGGAAGGCAATGACGTAACCAAGGGCAGCATCAGTTGCTGCTGTCTCACTGAAACTGATCCCACTGTGGGAACAAAATGGGAAAGCCCATCTCAGATGCCAGGAGAAGCATGGCTGGAGTCCACCCAGATACAGGGCTATATTGATATCAACTCAGAGATCAATATGTCCTGATCTAGGTCTGAGAGACAAAGTAGTTCTAATTCCCCCCGGTCAGGTGGTGGTGGTGGTCGTGATAGTGAGAAGAATGTTGTTGTTGATGATTTATGATGATAAAAATGATAGTAGTAGATGTACCAACAAGATGGCTCAGTGGTTAAAAGTAATTTCCACGCAAGCCTGGCCACCTGAGTTGATTCCCAGAACCCATGTAAACATGGTAAAGGTGGAAGGAGAGAACCAACTCCTGAAATTGTCTTATGGCCTCCCCACAGGCTGTGACATGTTTATGCCCACTCTCTCTCTCTCTTTCTTTCCTCCCTCCTCCAATACTTATAAATAAAATATACTAGGTATGGTTATGCATGCCTTTAATCCAGCACAAGGGAGGCAGATGCAGGCAGATCCGAATCCAGTCTGGTCTACTTAGTGAGTTCTAAGACATCCAGGGCTAAGTACAGAGACCCTGCCTCAAAAAAAAAAATCAAAAAAGTATGAGTCAATTAAAATAAAAGAATTATCGTGGTGGTAGTGAGGATGACATTGGTGATGATAGAGTGATAGAGTTGTGGTAATGGTGACAACAGTGATGAGGATGAAGACGATGCTGTTGGTGCTGATGGTGATCATGATGATGAGGGGGATGAGAAGAATAAGAGTAATTGTAAGGGGCCGTGGGCCCAAAACTATGCGGCTTAAAGCCAGCTCTGTGAGCCTCCTGTAGCCTGTAATTAGACACGGTTTGGCCAAGTGGAACTGCTAACTGCTTCTGTTCCGAGAAAGGGTCTGGGGCTTTTCTGTTCACTGTTCCAAGGAAGACCACTAGATGTTCCAGCTGATAAGAAGAATGTTCCAGTCCCAGCAAATACCTGATGTTCCTTCTGTTATTCCCTCCAATTCTATTGTTGCAGGGCTATTTAAGCCCACTCTAAGCCCCAATAAATCGAGACCTTGACATTGCATAGACGGACTCTTGTCCTTTCTCGAGCCGCTTGGTCTCCTTTCTTTCTCTCGCCCATGACTCTTTCAGGCAGCCCCCTTCGGAACCCTGAATGACTGGACCTTCGGGACGGGTCAAGTAATGATGGTGATGATGGCAATCATGACAACAATGATGGTGAGAATTCTGATTCTGGTGATGGATGATAATGCGGCTTGTTCTCGAGGGGGCCTTTCACCGGCATTTTGGATTATTGACAAAAGAGGAATATATTGGTGTGGGGAGCTGGGAGAATAGAGGTTTTTTTGGTGAGTCTTGACCTCCCTGTACTTTGAGTGTACATTCCCAGTTGCCTTCACATTGAAAGAAACACGGAGCTGTCATCTCTTTGTTGTGCTAAGTGCGAATCTGATTTGCTGTGTGTCATTGAATTTCAAGATGGAGTGGGTCTTGCTATCTCTGGTTCACAGATGAGGACAGAGTTGGCACAAGATCACTCAACTGGTGATCACACAACTTGTGAGGGAGGAATGAGTTGGAATCCAGGTGTGTCTGATTTCAAAGCCCTTCATTCTCCTTTTGTGTCAATGAATTCCAAATCCAGTTTAATACTAGTGTGGCATTTTATTGTTTTGAAACAGGCTCTCATATTGCCCAGGGTGGCCTCAAACTCACTCTGAGGCTGAGGATGATCTTAAGCTTTTTCACCTCCTGCACTTAGCCTCACAGGTGTTAGGGTTTCCAATGTGTCCCACTGTGCCCAAGCCAGCTCTGATGTATAGCTTTTTCTATCAGCTTATGTTAATTACACAATAATGAGATTCACCTGGATAGTTTTAGACATGTATATGATGTGTTTTACACAATGAGTAAATGTCAACCCAGTTAACATCTCTTGTCCCATGACCCTCACTCCTGCTGATCCGATCCTCTTCCTGAGCAGTTCTCCTTTCATGTCCTTTGATTTTTGTTTTGGTGAGCCAATGGGTTTAATTAGGGTTGCTTACATAAGCACCAATGACTATCCACCATTTATAGCTTTACAAATCTGTTTTTCTAATCGATATTTTAAGTTTTAGGCAGACATACCACATTTCTCATTTATTGAAAAAGTTGCAGCACCCTTGCTGAACAGGCCCAGAGCCTGCCTCTGCCAAGGTTTCCCTTACTCTACCTGGGCTTTAGTGACCCACCAGGGTACCTTTCTGTAGAAACATGGGCGTGGGCTGGCTTTGCCCCTTTAGGTCCTAGTCAGGCCTCTCCAGTCTTCCAGAACCTTCCACCTCTCTGAGCAAACTGGAGCTGCTGGTAATAGATGGCTTCTTTCTCTTTGGCCTCACTGAGCATTTTCCTCCTCCTCCTGAGCTAGCCAGATGGCACAGTGGGTAAAGGCACTCACTGGCAAGGATGATATCCCGAGTTTGATCTTGGAGAATGAACTGTGATGGAAGGAGAGAACTAGCTCTCTCAAATTGTCCTTTGATGTCCACATGAATGTCCCCACACACACACATACAAAATAAATAAATAACTATAATTAGCAAAATAAAATACCAAATCCCCTTTCATGTCATGGAATTGCTCAGTATGTGGAAACAATAACAATTCCTAGGCCTTTGTCTGAGAAGGCAATTAGTTCTAATTACAGTATGCCTCTTGACTTTGGCTACATATTGCAATAAGCCAAAGGAATGATAAGATACTGGTGCTGAGTGCTATCTCTGGACATCATGAGCAAGCCTGGGAGGCAGCTTAGACCACAGGGCTGGCTTCCTTCCTTCCAGAATCCTACTGGGGAGCCAGGGCTGAGGACTACTGGGTTGCAGAGACCGTGAAGCAAATGAAGGTGTTTTGTTAATTAGTTGGAGAGTGAGCTCTGAGGTTACGAGCACTGGCTTCTCTTCCATAGGACCCAGGTTCAATTCCCAGCATCTATATGGTGGCTCACAACAGTGTAACTCCAGTTACAAGAAATCCAACACTGACTTCTGGCCTCCTTGGACACCATCAGGCTCACATGTGGTGTACAGACATTATTTAGGCAAAATATCAGTCCAAATAAAAATATTTTTAAAAATAAATAAAGTATTTTATTAAAATTCAGGACTTGGGCTAGAGGGTTATCTCAGTAATAGAGTGTGTACTTAGCATATAGTAAGACCCTGAGTTTGATCCCCAGCAAAGGAAGAGAAAGAGAGAAAGAGGGAAGAGAATAGGAGGGAGAAGGGATAAATTAGGTTCTTGTAGGAAAAAAAAAGCTTATCTATTTAAATATTTTTATAGGTCTCTGAAAAAGAGTAAAAAAAAAACTTATGACTTTTGTTAAAATGATCTGGCAGCATAGACCTGTAATCTCAGCTATTTGAGGAGCTGAGGCAGGAAGGTTGGAAGAGTTCAAGATCTGTACAGGCTGGAGTAAGTTCAGATCATCCTGGGTGATTCTGTAAGACCCTGACTCAATTCCTTTTAAATAAAACCAAGACTTTACAAGCTGGGCGTTGGTGGCACACGCCTTTAATCCCAGCCCTCAGGAGGCAGAGGCAGGCGGATCTCTGTGAGTTCGAGGCCAGCCTGGTCTACAGAGTGAGTGACAGGATAGGCTCCAAAGCAATACAGAGAAACCCTGTCTCAAAAAACAAAAAACAAAACAAAAAAACTAAGACTTTACTCATTCACTGGGATGGTGGGGGTGTTTCACTAGGATGGGGAGATGTGTTTCACAGGGATAGGGTGTGGTTTACTGGGATGGGGGACCATGCTTCCCTGGTATGGGGGATGGGGTTCCCTGGGATGGGGTTCACTGGGATGGGGTGTGATTCGCTGGGATAGGGGTGTGGTTTACTGGGATGGGGAGGTTCGTTAGAATGGAGGATGTGGTTCACTAGTAAACCACTTGCCTAGCATGTGTGAGGTCCTGGGTTCAAGCCCTAGCATTGAAAAACAGAAACTAAAAACCTTTGGCTAATAGAGTAATAAAATTATCAAATTCAACTAAGGGTTTCAAATTAAACTTCAAACTGAAGCTTAACTGTACTTAGTCCACTGGGCTTATAGCTCAGTAGTAGAGCAATTATCTGTGATAGTGAAGCCCTGGGTTTAAGGGTTTGATTCTCAGCACCTCAGAAAAACATAAACAAAACAAGAGCAAGCTGTGTATGGTGGCCAACACCTTTAATACCAGCACTCGGAAGGCAGAGGCCAGCCTGGTCTACAAAGTAAGGACTGTTACCAGAGAAACCCTGTCTTGAAAGACAAACAAAACCCAAAGGCTAGAGAGATGGCTGAGCAGTTAGGAGTGTTTACTGCCCTTGCAAAGGACCTGAGTTTGGTTTCCAGCAACCACACTGTTCAGCCCATAACCTCCTGTAACTCTTGCTCTGGGGGATCTAATGCCCTTTTCTGGCTTCTGTGTGCACCCTTACACCTGTCAGGCACTCACACAGACACAGACACAAATAAAAAGTCTCTAGAAAATGAATGCAGGCCAGGCAGTGGTGGTGCACGCCTTAAATCCCAGTACTCAGGAGGCAGAGGCAGGTGGATCTCTGTGAGTTCGAGACCAGCCTGGTCTACAAGAGCTAGTTCCAGGACAGCTTCCAATGCCACAGAGAAACCCTGTCTTGAAAAAACAAAAGAAAGAGTGGGTGGGGAGAGAATGAATGCAGACTCCACTTCAGTTTCTAAGAACTGGCACGTCTCTTTATGCTTTTCTGACATCCACTGCAAAAAGAGAACTGTCTAAAGTTGGTTCAAGACCTAAGAAAGGGGCTGGAGAGATGGCTCAGAGGTTAAGAGCACTGGCTGCTCTTCTAGAGGTCCTGAGTTCAATTCCCAGCAACCACGTGATGGCTCACAACCATCCATAATGAGATCTGGTGCCCTCTGCTGGCCTGCAGGGACACACGCAGACAGAACACTGTATGCATAATAAATAAATCTTTAAAAAAAAGAAAAAAAAAAGATCTAAGAAAAAAATAACCTTTGTGGATGTCAAGAATGAAGCATGAGGTGAGGTGAGGAAAAGTATGAGGTGAGGTGAGGAAGGAACACATGTGTTGAAACACTGCGGTGTATGATCTTATGGGCGACCAGCTACAAGCTTAGCATTGTTCCTCTGAGAACCCAGCCTTTGTTCTCCAGGTGGCCAGCTCTTTCTGGAAATGTCAGAGAGTCCACACTTGGCGCTACATGGGCCAGATGGTTTCTGTCTCAGTGACTCAACAGTGCCATTGTAGCAGAAAAGTAGCCATAGGCAGTATGTGAGCAAATGGGTGTGCCCACCCATATTGTAATAAAACTTTATTTGTAGCAGGGCATGTTGGCACATGTCTGTAATCCCAGCACTAGGAAGATGGAAGCAAGAGGACCACGAGTTTCTGGTCATCTGCATGAGAAGCAGATGCTCTTAACCACTGAATCATCTTCCAGCCCTGTTACTGTATTTTATGTTAAAGAGTCCTCTCTACCTGGAAGAGGAACAGCAAGAGAGGGTAGTGTGTGTGTGTGTGTGTGTGTGTGTGTGTGTGTGTGTGTGTGTGTGTGTGTGTGAGAGAGAGAGAGAGAGAGAGAGAGAGAGAGAGAATATGATCAAAGTATATTAGATGCATGTATGAAAATGCCACAATGAAACCCATTATTTTGTATTTATAACAAATTTATAATTCTAGTAATTAATACATGCTAATTTAAATACAAGAAATGAAAGAATTCTTTCCAATTTCTTAAGTTCCAGGCCCTGAGTGTGACTCTAGAGCAGCTTCAGTTATATGCGAGGACTGCCCTCTATCCACTCAAGGCCAGCAGGGTTTCCAAAACCTTCCTCTGAGGGAGCTATAGGAAGGAGAAGTAGAGGAAGAGTCAGGGAAGCTGCCACATACTCGCCCCTGTGCTTCCGGTAGCGCTGGAGGTCACGATCTGCCAGGATAGCCCTCTTCACAAACACCACCAGGGCGCTCCAGCTGGCTAGGATAATGGCCAGTTCAAGAAGATTCCACTTGCTGCAAAAGTAAGCCCGCTTCTGTTTCCTCATGAGCTTGCCCTGGAAATGGGATACAGAGATTAAGGCTATGGCAGTGTCTACCTCTCCATGCCAAAGACCTCTGGTAGGACATTACCCTGGCCCAACATACATACATCCTTGGAGATGCCTTAAGCATTCTAGGAAAGCAGTCTGCCACTGAGTTATATCATCAGCCATCCGTAGCATGGGGGGCTTGGGGGGGACACTAACCAGCTCCCAAGTCATGACACGGAGACTTATTAGTTATGAAAGCTCAGCCTCATCTTATGCTTGTCCCACTAGCTCTCATAACTTAACCTGTTTCTCTTCATCTATGTTTTGCCTCAGGGCTTTTTACCTTTCTTTCATTTTGTATTTACTACTCCATGTCTGTCTGACAGCTGCCTGGCTGGCTAGGCCAGGAGTCTCCCACTCTTTTTCCCTCGTTCTTTTCTCCCTTCTCTATTCTTTCTCTCTGCCAGCCCTGCCTATCTTTCCTCTGCCTAGCTATTGGCCATTCAGCTTTTTATTAGACCAGTCAGATGCCTTAGGCAAGCAAGGTGAAACAGCAACACATCTTTACATAATTAAACAAATGCAGCATAAACAAAAGTAACACACATTTATAAGAGTTGCATGGTCATGGTGTCTCTTCACAGCAATAGAAACTGCAACTAAGACATCCCTTAACCTAATCCTTCTGGAAGGTTTCCAGTTAGAAGCTATAAGACCAATGCAGACCCTACCCTTAGGAAGGACCAACCCTGAGGTGTCAGTTCCTGGGTAATACCAACCCTGTTCCTTCCTGAAAAAGGATGGATTGGCTCACAGGACCAACAGAAGATCTGTTAGCCAAGCAGCTGGGGCAATAAAAACCAAACCAAAACAAAAAACCCTTTCCCTCTTGCCTCAGTCCTGGCTTTAGGAGGTGAGAAGGCAAAAGGATGCTTCTATCCATCTCTGCCCACTGAGCCCTTACCCCCCTCACCTGCACCACCATGTAGTAGAAGAGGAAGAGGAAGTAAATGAACTCAGCTGCCACCACGAAGGGGTGCCAGCCATCAGTGAAGGGGTACAGGCGCAGGCTCTGCAGGGCGGCGTGTGAGAAAAAGGTACCTGGGGAGAAAAGTGCCTCTGTTCACCTGCCTGTTGGAGACCCAGCTTCTGACCGGACTCAATGTCACATAATTCAAGCCTTCTCCAGGTTGGCAAGAAGACTAACAAGGAGATACAAGGGACAAAGTTGGACATGGGCAGGATACCAATGACAGTGGACAATCCAGAAGGCACCGCCCCAGAAGGAGCTACCCCAGAAAGTCCATGAGACCCTCTCTGGGATGGATGTATGTGCACAGCACCTCCACAGAACCCATCCACCCAGAATCTTCCACTAGCCCCCCCCCACATTGCTCATTGATGCCATTTCCCCCACAGAGCGTCCCCTAAGATCATCAGATGGCCAATGCGCCAAGCAAGTCAACCTTCCTGAGTTATTTGTCATTCATTCATAAATCTTTCTTTTTTTCTTTCAAGATATGGTCTCACTGTAGCCCTAGCTGTCCTGGAATTCGCTATGGAGACCAAGATGGCCTTGGACTCAGAGATCCCCCTACCCCTGCCTCATGAGTACTGGGATTAAGGGCATGCACCACCATACCATACTGTGTCTTTTCCTTACATTCTTTTTAGTTTTGTCTTGTTTTTAATCCTTCCCATTTAAATTGTTTGCTTTATTCTCTCTCTCTCTCTCTCTCTCTCTCTCTCTCTCTCTCTCTCTCTGTCTGTGTGTGTGTTGTCTTGTGTTGTGTTTTTTCGAGACTCTAACTCACAGAGATCTGCCTACCTCTGCCTTCTGAGTGCTGGGATTAAAGGCATGAGCCACCACTGCCCGGCTCCATTTAAATTGTTTGAGTGAAAAAAGTTGTTACTGATGCTTTCTGAGACAGACCAATGTATTCCAGGCTGTCTTTGAACTTGCTGTGTAATCAAGGATGACCTTGAGATCCTGATTCTCCATCTCTGATTACCTACCTATATACCTAGGTTATGAGATAACATTTTAAGTCAGTTTGACTAGTAAGGCTATTACTGCCTGTGAACATAAAGCTAGCCCTCAGGCTGACAGAAAGACAGGCTGAAAATGAAGATCCAGGCCAACAGGGGCCTTGTAGCAAGGTCTTGTATATACATATTTTAAAATTTAGTGGGTGTGGACTGCATAAAATACACTGTATGCATCATACTACATACATGTATGAAATTCTAAAAGAAAAAAATAATATGTTTTTAAATTTCAGGCTGAGTGTGTTCATCCCTATAGTCTCAGTAATCAGGAAGCGGAGACAGTAGCATTAATAGGAAACCTGACTGGGCTGCACAAGACACTGTCTCAAAACAAGCAAACAAATAAAATAGCAATTGAATACCTTCAAACGTTCAGTGTTTAACAGAGAGGAAGTTGAGTTCTAGGAAATTGAGCATTAGTTGAGAAGGCTTCAGGTTGACTTTGGTTGTTGTTAACTTGTAATTAACATTTTAAAAGATGGAGGGGTGGGAGAAAGAATGAACAGAAAGTATAGAAGCCCATCACAGAGGTGAGCATGAATATTACGTGTGGATATTTGGTCTCAGTCATATGAGCATGGTTGGATGGTGATGTTCAACATGTTCTCTCCTCTATGGGATGAGGAGATGGACAAGCTGTCTCCCACTCCAACTGGATTCCCTTAAGATGATGAAAGAGACCAGTCCAGAGTAAATAGGGCAAGCAGGCTAGAGTAGCACTGATGCTTTGCTTTTAGGGGACCTAGGGATTCACGACATAGCAGCAGGACTCAGCTATGTTAGAGACACAACCAGGGTGAGGATTTCCAGGAGAGATGGCTCACCCAGGCCACTATTCTCCAGTGTGAGTGTGACAATGCAGAACAGGTTGACATTGGCATTGTAGACAGTGAACTCCACAAACACAGCTCTGGTCAAGGTGTCCAGCCAGCTATTATCAAAGAGATACTGGAGAATCCTGTGGAGAAAGAGGGGTGCTTGGTATCTTCTTTCTCATGAGGCTCCTTGTCCATGAACCCCTGCATGAGGCTAGGGCTTACTGTCTAAACCTTCTATTCTGCTCTGCTCCTGGGCCACACACCTAGCTCTTGGGGATGGTCATCAAATGATGATGCCAGCCACATGGTGGTGTTGGCTTATAGTCTCCTGACCATTAGAACAGAGTTTGTCAAAGGGGGTTCCCAGCCAACATTGTAACATATTGTGAATACAGACTGTCAGGCTCTGGGTCACATGCATCAGAGAAGCTGGGCCAGGGCTGGGGAATGTGCGCTTGGATGTGCCCCTTCCAGGGGGGTGGTGTGCTTTTTTAAGTCAAACAGCTATCCAGTGAGAGGAACCTTATGAAGCTCTGGGGCTCAGGCAGTAGCTGCAGCTATGGAGTTCCCCTGGGATGGCACATTACATGGGACCAGGTCCTGGAGAACTCGGCCTGACGTAATAAAAAAGCAATGTGTCCTGGGGTGGCAGAGGGAACTGAATTCAAATCCTGACTGCCTCTCGGGCAAGCTAACTTCTGCAGGCCTTGGTCCCTCATTCACAATGGTGTTAAACATCAATGCCTCCAAATAGATAAAATGAAAGTATGTGTGTGCACACACATGTATGCTCAGTAGAAATAGCCGCAGGGGCCCTTTCCTTCCAAGTCTGGAGATGGACAGTTTCTAGGGCCTGAAAACACTACCTGAGGGATTCTTGCATGCCCGTCCCCTCCCACATTGGCATGAATGAACTTATCTTGAAGGCTACTTCCTCTATCCCACTATGCACTCTAGCAAATGGCTTCACTGCGCAAGAAAAGAATCAAGTCTGTCTCACCTTGTGGTACTTTGGCGATCCGTTCCCAAGGAGGCCACATAGCCTCCTCCCCCATACACAGTAAGTTTGCCCCACATGGGATAACCCTGACGTTGGCTCTGGCTCTGGTATTGCCACACCCGAAGAAAGCCATTGCTGTTATTGCCAGCAGAGACATTCCAGCCTTCTCCATAGTCTGCCAGATCTTCAACATCCAGGGAGTATGGTGCGTGGCATCCATCGAAAGAAGCCTGTAGCTGCTGGGCAACAGGGCAAGAGCCTTCCCGGACCCTCACTTGGCGAATGTGGGCACTGCCAACCAACTTGGAGTTCCCATCAGTGACAAAGCCTGAAGATGAGAACCAGGAGGGCAAGTGTGGCATCCGAAAGCATCCTAACACATCCCATGATCCCCCACCCAGATGTGACTAAGATCATGGGTGGATCCATTAGAGACACAGCCCAGAAGCAGCTTGTGCCTCACCACAGGCTGCTTTGTTAGAACATGAACCTGCCCCTTTAAGGCCCTGGTCACTCAAGAGAGGCCAGAGCCTACAGCCTGAAGGGATTAGGCCCCATCTCCATGCAGCTCTCTCTGGGACAGAATTGAGAAGCTGTTCTGTGCTGTGTATGGCTTATGGTCCCGACTAGGACTTGACTCCTCCATGCTCTTTGTCTGGTTTACTATTCTGAACTAAATCACATTACTCAAAACTTGCAGTCCCCTAACAGTGTATAAACGTTTGATATGCCCTATGTTCTGGGGATTGTCCTGCAGATTTCTGAGAAGACTCCTCAGGGGACTGTTCTGGGATTCTCTATGAAGGCACTACTCTGACCTCATCCTGTGCCCCACCATCCCTTTCATGGAGCCCCTCACCCAGCTCTCTTATTCATTCTTTCTTTCCATGATCTCCTGTCTCTGCTTTCCAAGTGCTGGGATTAAAGGTGTGCTCCAGCCTGGAGGATCTCTGTGAGTTCAAGGCCAGCCTGGTCTACAGATCAAGTTCTAGGACAGCCAAAGCTGTTAACACAGAGAAACCCTGTCTCAAAAACAAAACAAAACAAAATGTAAAAGTGTGCACCACCATGCCTGGTCTCATTATTTTTTCTTCTTCTTCAAGACAGGTTTCTTCTCTACATAGTCCCGCTGCCCTGGAACTTGCTCTGTAGACCAGGCTGGCCTCGGACTCAGAGATCTGCCTGCCTCTGCCTCCTGAGTGCTGGGATTAAAAGTGTGTGCTACCACAGCCCAGCAAAATGGAAATTCTTTAGCCAACACAAGAGCAATAAAACATGAAAAAAATAAAGCAGATAATATGAATACCCAAATGTTGAGATTAAAAGCATGTGCCACCACCGCCCAGCTGTTCTCATTCTTAATGAATCCCCTCTCCAGGTTTTTAAAGGAAGTCCTTCTTCCCTTTAAGGTCCTCATCATGCTTGGCTCTCCCATATATGGTACCACTTTCTGTCTAATATTCTTCCCCTATCTTGGGCCCAGTCATGGTCTTGAGGCCCTTTCTCCTACTGAGCCTCACTCAGCGAGGAAGGGTGAGTATGTGGACCAAACACTGCCACTCTATCATGAATATATGTGATCCAGCCATCCTCACCTCAGCACTTCTCCATCTTGGATGGACTCCATGCTCTACATAAATTCTCTCTGTCAGCCTGAACACTATCAGTGTCCTCCCCAACCCTCACTCTCTAACAGCCACCACACCCCATAATACTCCATCTTTCTCTCCCCTCTCAGTCTCCCTATATCAATCCCCATCATCTCTCTCTAGCATCCTGACTGGAATACCCTCCGCTCCAACCTCCACATACATCCAGAGTGATGGTTCCTTGTGTAGACTCCTCCATGGTGCCTCTTCTCCATGAGGATAAGTGTGATCTTTAGAGCCTCGTCTCCCTGTCTCTTTCCTCCACACAGCTTCACACCAGTCCTTCACTCAGATACCCCATAGTAGCCATACTTGATGTTTTGCAGTGGCATGAACTTTGCAGTCCCGTGGAATGCTGCCTCGGCTAGTTTCATGTCCTTTCTCCCGCCTGTACACTGTATTTCCCTAGGCAGGTTAGGCTTCCTACCTCTCATGGAAGATCATGGTCACTTCACATCAGCCTTCTTCCTGACAGCTTGTCAAAAAGGTCATGTGCCTATTGTGTTTTTATGCTGTCAGTGACTTATAAGTGCTTCCCCACACTTTACATGAACAATCGGGCTTGACACACTGTCTCAGGGCATGGGGACTACCTGGGTGATGACCATATAGGTTCTTCACAAGAGTGGTATTGGCCCATTCGAAGAACTCTTTGAAACCCAGCACAGCTGAGAAGCCTTGAGTGAAGCTATGCTCCAGATGTCTGTTGAAGTGGTAAGCATTGGGGTCCCTGTGCCCATAGGCTATGAGCAGCAGCATCCACAGGAAGGCCAGGTAAGCTGGAAAGGATACACAGCCTGGTCAGACAGGTCCTTGACCCCCACAAGTTCAAGGAGGAACAGCATACATAGAACAGTGGAGGGCTCGCAGCCCAGCCCCTGCCACTCTGGTAACAGGAACAGCAGAGAAGAGGGAAGTGCACAGAGGTAGGTCCAGCCACTTCCTCATCGAGTGTTCTTCATGGATGGTTCAACCTCTCTGTGCATGATTCCCCATCATTCAGAAAATAATTTTACAACATGGGATTGTGGTAGAAGTATCAGCTAATGTTTATAAAGCTTTTTGAATCAGGGAGTCATGCTCTGTGTTTCTTTTGAGACAGGGTCTTATGTCCCAGGCTGGCATTGAACTTGCTACATAGATGAGATTGGATAGGAATTCCTAATCCTCCCAGTGTTTGGATTAGAGGTTTGAGCCGCCCGCTTGACTTTCTTTAAAAAAAAAAAAACTTAATTACTATTCTTGTGCATGAGAGTATGGACATGCATGTACCACAGCATGTGTGTAGGTCAGAGAATCGCATGAGGGAGTCCATTCCCTCCTTCCACCATGGATTTTCGGGAGTGAACTCAGATAATCAGGCTTTACAAGCAAATTGCTTGGCTCACTCTCATGCTGGGGATTGTCTGCAAAGCCTGTGCTTGCTAGCTGGGTACTCTTGCTCTGCGCTAACCCCATGAACTGTTAAGCTTCTTCGAGTTTCTGTGTGCCATATTTTCTTCGAGTGTGTGTGCCATATATGCACATATATATGGATGCACCAGAGGATGCTGTTGTGGGTCCTGCTCTATCACTCTCCACCTAATTCCCTTGAGACAGAGCTAGGCTGGCAGCCAGCAGGCTCTACTGATCCTCCCATCGATGCCTCCCATAGCACTATGGTTGCCAGTACATGCCACCACATCTGGGTTTGTATGCGGGTGCTGGGAATCCAAACTCGGAGCCTTGTGCTAGCAAAGTAGACAATCTTCCCTAATGAGCCCTCTCCAGACCCCTTATCTGTGTTTTTAAGATAGAATTGTCAAAACCTGTCCTGTTGCATTGCTGACAATACAGTGTTGGAGCAGACATATATGGTCCCCGTGCTCATGGCATTCGCCTGCTTACTGGAGACAGGTTGGGAATATTGGAAGGCTGCAAGTAAAAAGCCCTTGTGTAAAAATATTTAGATCAGAAAGTCACACATAACAATGCAACAGGGGTGCAGATTCCTACTGAGCCAGAACTTCCAGGCTTAGGCTTGAACTCTGCACCATGAGGCACCCCCACCACCCAGTCCCATGGTGGGCCTGGATGGATATCAATGATGATAATGCATAGAATAATTTGGGGGGGGTGTTCCCATTCTCCCCAAGGTCTCCAGCAGAACCAAATCATTGACTCTATTTCTTGGCTTCTTTCCCTCTTTGGTGCACTTTCTTCCCCACCCATCTTCCCCAGGATCACCTTGCTAGTGAAATATATCCACCCAGATATGCTTTGGGGGGAATCAAGCAGACAAACCCTGGGGTTTGAAAAGACCCTAGCATGAGTAATAGGGTGTGGGGTCCTCTCTAAAGACATGCTACTGGACTAACTGTTAAAGGACAGGAAGAATTAGCCAGAAGGAAAGGTGGGAAGAAGGACGGGCACATTCCAAGACTGCTGAGATGATGCAAAGACCAAAAGGCCCAGGGAGAGCAGAGCACGGGATCCCAGGAGCCACAGAACTCAGGGCACTGGGAGCCAGGAAAGGAGACTCAAGGGGTAGACCATAGTAGGGAGCTCAGACTCCACTCCAAGAGGATGGAGGATTGCAGGCAAAAGGGAGAAGAGAAACTGGAGCCTAGAGGCAGCAAAGGGCTCATCAAAGGACACTCAGTGTGTCTGCGCCAGGACGTGCTGAGAACCCAGGTGGGAGAAGCTGCCCACCCAGGATTTCTCTGATGAGAGCAAAGACTTTCTGTTCCTGGAGGCGAGTGGTTTTCATCTTCTCGATGGCGTCAGTGAGAGGAGGCTGGTAAGCATCCTTGCTGCTGCATCTTTGTGTTCGGAACATGGCATGGGAGCCTGTGGACATAGAACACAGAACAGTCCCCCGCATGTCAGGGAAACCAGGAATTGCCGTTCTGATCGGTGCACTATGACCCATCTGTCTTTGTTGTTCATGCCCTCCTACCCTCCCTGCCCCAGCATCTGTCGTCGACCTCCCTGCTGGTTTCCACATTTCCACTTATTACCTGATACCTGTAGTCACCAGGAGGAACACCAGTGACCTCTGTAAAATGACAAGGCAGATAGGGCACTCTCCTATTTTAAATCTCCAGAAACCCCAGCATTGCTTCTGACCCTCCAAGTCTCTGCATGCCCTGCTCCCCAACTCTCTCCATCCTCTCCATGAACCATCTCCTTCAACACAACTCCCTGAGCTCCTGCCATACCATTAGTGATTGCTACAGCATGGGCAGTTCTGTTCCACCTCACGGTCTTTCCGGGCATCTAGGGCTCCAGTCTTTCTTCTCTGTACCCTCGGGGGATGGCTAGGGAAGCCTGAAGGGTCTTTTTCGTCTCCAGCTCTGTCCTCATCAGGCTTCCTTAGATATCTGCTTATGCACTAACATGCCTCAATGTCACCTCCCCACCTGGTCTTTGCTTGCAGGGGTTGTGTAACCCATTCCTTTCAACCAGTACCACATTGCCCAGGGATGTGCTTGGGGTCAGGCACAGACTTAAAATGAACAGAGGGACCATTCTGGGTGACGAAATGTTTTATATCTCAATCATAATGATGATGGTTCCATAACCTTCTAAATTTACTAGACTCACTGAATTACATCCAACAGTGAGCGAGTTCTCTGTCAATTATGTTCTGAAGCCGTCACTGCCTGAAACACAGCCAGTTCCCCTTGAAAAATTGCCAAATGAATGATTAAAGGAGTATATGGTGGGTTTGGAAGCTGGCATCTCTTCAGAGAGAAATTACTCTATTATTGAGAAAGGAGACTTTTTTGTTGAGAAATGGGCTTATTTTTTGAGTCAAAATTTTATCGTAGGATTATAAGTCTGGGACAGGGGGAACCACTGGCTCCTGATTTATCATCCCCAAGGCCAAGGTCAGTTATTGATTCTGTTTTGTTTGCCCATCTGCCTGAGAAAAGCTCTTCTCAAGGCCCTTTGAGAGTTTTGCTGGGAAGAGGGGACTAACCAGGGGTGTCTTAGACCAGGGTTCAGCATAGCTGTTTCCATAAATCTTTATTTACCAAAACCAATAGTGACAGTTTGGCTCCTTGGTTAGAGACTGCAGACTTTTGCCCCAGAAGTCTAATGTACGGCCACTTTCTGCAGACTACCCATGAGCAAATTGAATGTTTCGTTTCCCTTTGAAATCTCAGGAACCCACATCTTGCTAAAGAATGCAGTTTGGAGCTGAGAATGTGTCTCCTTTGTTAGAGTGTCTGCCTGGCTTGTGCTTGTCCTGGGTTCTGTCCCAGCACAACAGGTAGCTTATGCCTGGAGGTAGCAGTGGGGTAGGGTGGAGTGATTTGAAGTGCAAAGTCATTCTCAGTCACATACCAATTTCAAGGCCAGTCCAGGCTATGGAAGGTTCTATCTCTAAAAAGAATAATAGAGCCTGCCTGATTCCCCAGGGATACCCCTGGCTAAAGGGTCCTGCCTGATCCCCAAGGGCACACCCCTGGCTAAAGAGTCCTGCCTGATCCCCAGTGGCATACCTCTGGCTAAAGGGTCCTGCGTGATCCCCAAGGGCACACCCTTGGCTAAAGGGTTATGCTGAGTTATCAGGAAGAAAGGATGGAAGGGAAGGAGTAAGACTGATCAAGGGACCAGGAAGGGTGTCTCTTTTCTGGCTAGTTTGGGATGACTGATAAAACCCAGTGTGGATGCTGGTGGTGGATAAATTCTGGGGAGTGCTCAAGGCCCAGGATACTTCATAGACATTCTCTGCAGGCCTACTCAGCCTTGCTGGACCACTGAGTGGTCATACTCCTGTCTCCACATACCAGGGACCCATTACCTGGACCAGACAGATGTCTTGGCAATGAGGGCAAAGTCTCTTCATCATCTTCTCTCTTCAAGACCAGCGCAAAGAAAGCAGCAAAGCCCAGGACCTGGAAACCACCCCGTGTGAGCCCAAGCCTGCAGGGAGTTCCCAAGGCCTGAGAGATAGGGACTGGGTGATAAGCAGTCAGGTGGGAACCAGCCATTCCCACAGAGGGAGGTCTTTATGAGGAGGGAGGGCTGCCACCCATCATAAAGACTGACAGGTCTCTAAACTTCCCAGAATTTCCCACTTGCTGCCCAGCTGCCCAGATCATCTCTCACTTCTAACTCTGAAGAATTACTGCCTCCACCTCACCCCATCCCTGTACCCCTGCATCAGCTGAGACAGCCTGCCACGTCTGTGTCTGCTATGCCCAAGCAAAAGAGATCCTGTGGTTAGGAACACTTAGAACACACCCTGCTCTCACTAGTCTTCTAGCCTTGGCTAGTGGAATTGTCATAGAAGCTTTGGACCATTCAGAACTGGGGGTATAGCTCAGTTGGCAGAGTGCTTCCCTGGCATGTCCAGAGCCCTGATTTGACCTCCAGCATTCTACATCAACAGCAGGATGGCACAGACCTGGAATTCCAGCATTAGGGAGCCGGAGGCAGGAAAATCAGAAGTTCGAGGCCAGCCTTAGCTAGTTTGTGACCATCTTGGGCTACTGGGCCTTATCTATAAACAAATACATACATACAATTCAGGGTAGAATGAGAGTCAAAAGGGCAGATGGGGGGATTTGAAATGTCCTATAGGAGAGAAGATTCCAGTAGCTGGTTATGATAGCAGTGCATATCTGTAGTTTCTGCACTTGGGTAGCTGAGGCAAGAGGATTGCCATAAATTCAAAGTGAGTCTGGACTATATACTGAGTGCCAGGCTGGCCAAGGCTACATGGGAAGACCCTGTCTCAAAACCAAATAACAAAACATTATAGAGTCCCTTAATGATCATTTTCCTCTTACAGTCCCCTGGTCCCCTGATGACTGCAAGCTGCAGGAGGATCTGTCCCTGCTCCCCGCCAGTTCTTAGTGCCCAAGTCTAATATGCTCCCAGATAACTTTACATCTCAGGAATAGGAACCAGTTTCTGAAGGGAATAGTCTCTTACATTGCTATCCTCTCTCAGAATCGGGAGTATCTGAGGACTGAGATATATACACACATACGGGCTATGGAGAGATGTTTGTGATCTTCTTGGTGGAAATGCTGGGGTGGGACCCAGGACCTTGTACATGCTGGGCAAGCTCTCTACTTCTGAGATACATCCCCGCTTTATGATTTCTCACCCATAGATTTTCCCACAATCCTCAGGGTGATGGTGATTATGAAATGCTAGCTCCTTAGTACAACACTGTACAAGTCCTTTGGGCTACTATACTATCTCCATTATTATCCCTACTCTGGGGCCAGCACAGAGGTAGCATCTCATGTGTTTGTTAAATGAATAAAAGAAATAATAACTGGGCTGGAGAGATGGCTCAGAAGTTAAGAACATTGGCTGCTCTTCCAGAGGTCCTGAGTTCAATTCCCAGCAACCACAGCCATCTGTAATGAGATCTGGTGCCCTCTTCTGGCCTGCAGGCATACATGCAGACAGAACACTGCATACATAACAAATAAATAAACCTTAAAAAAATAATAGCTGTGCCCTCGACCCCAGATGCTGTCGGGGAGGCCAGTACAAGACTGATCCAGACCCCTGAACATGGATGTCAATAAGGAGGCCTCTGCACTCCAGGGAGCCTCTGGTAGTGGATTAGTATTTTTCCCTGGTGCAAGAAGGGACTTTGAGAGCCCATCCCACGTGAAAGGTTACACTCTGGCCCTGGACACATGGGGAAGGGCCCAGGACCAGCACAGGAAGATTTGGTGGACTTTGCAGAGCCCCCATTGAAGGCCCTACCCTGCCTGGGGAGTGGTGGGTGGATGGGGTGGGGGATAGGCTGGGGGTGGGGGAGGAGGGATGGGGGTGAGAGGAGGGAGAGGGAGAAGGGACTTACATGTGAAACAAGCTTGTTCCCTAACTAGAACTAATAAATAAATTTAAAAAAAGAAAAAAATAGCTGTGCTTGAAAAATAACTGATCACAAGAGGGTAGAGGTAGATAGGAAGGCCATGGGCAGACACTTGGGGAGGGGTGTCTGACCTTCAGGGGCTGGGTGATGAACACACTCTCCACAAAGGACACAGCCATGGAGATGAGCCACCTGAGAGAGCTGGCCCTTCCATAGTGCAGGCCATACAGCATAGTGAAGAAGGCTGCCACGCCACTGGTGGCTGCCACCAGGAGCCAACCCACTAGGACACACCACCAGGGCAGTCCACGAGGGGACTTGCTGGCCCGAGGAGTGCTGCAAAAGAAGATAGAATGACACAGTCAGGGTGGCACCCGAAGACCCACATTCAAATCCCATTCTGTCCTCATCCTCCAAATGACCTTGGGCTAGCTGCTTAACCTCTGACCATCTGTTTCTCCTCTACAATTTGTACCTGCCTGAAAGAGCTGTTCTCTAGTCTGTCATTTGTCCAGCTCTGGCTAGGGGGCAGTCCCTAACAGCATCCCTAACAGGTAGCCTAGAAAGCTCGTTCTATGTCATTAAAAAAGCTCTGTACAAAGGCTGAGTATCTTCCAGAAAGTAGCCCTGTCCCCTTAACCCATGCTGGTTTTGGGAGTCCCTTGAAAACATTATAGAGTCCCTTAATGATCATTTTTCCTCTTACAGTCCCCTGGTCCCCTGATGACTGCAAGCTGCAGGAGGATCTGTCCCCGCTCCCCACTAGTTCTTAGTGCCCAAGTCTAATATGCTTCCAGATAACTTTACATCTCAGGAATAGGAACCAGTTTCTGAAGGGAATAGTCTCTTACATTGCTATCCTCTCTCAGAATCGGGAGTCCCTTCTGTCTTTGTGGTCTGGGTGGACGTCTTTCCAAGGCTGGTCAAGGTGCCCCAGCTGGTAGCCCCAGGCAGGAGAGGGCAGGTGTCCATTCAGCACCCAGGGAAGTAGATTACCTGGCATATGTTCTTGCTGGAGTGCCAGGCTGTCCCCAGAGGTGGCCCTTCAGGACATGCAGCTGCTTGAGGGCCTGGGCATGACTATGGTGATGCAGGAAGCCTTGGGGCCCCACCAGCTGCAGCTCCCTCTCCACATGCTCCAGTTGAAGGTAGAGACACTGCCTGTAGATGCCATCCTTCCAAAGCCCACTTGCTGCCAGCTTGGGCCTGGGGGGCCATGTGTTTTCTGGGAGACAAAGGGGAAAGTGACCATATAGTGGTGAGTGACAGCCATCTACAAAAAAAAAAAACAAACAATAGCAGCAGTTTTGAGCTCACCTGCTACATGCCAGGAGTAGGAAATCTGAGGCACAGAGGCTGGGTTCAAAGAGCCAACCAGGGTATTTTATCTTTTTATTAAGGAACAGTTTGAAAAAGTCCTTACTTACAAAGAGAAGAGCACACTTCCCCATGTGCCCTGCTGCAGCAATGACTGTAAGTGATCACTAAATTATGTTTATTTACCTATTATCTCTCTCTCCTCTTCTCTCTCTGAAGTAGGTTCTCTCCTTGTAGTAGTTTGAATGTAATTGATCCCCATAGTCTCATAGGAAGTGGCACTGTTAGGAGGTGTGGTTTTGCTGGTGTAGGTATGGCCTTGTTAGAGGAAGTGTGTCACTGTAGGGGCAGGCTTTGAGGTCTCTTTTGCTCAAGCTTCCTTCAGTGTGACTGTCAACTTCCTGTTGCCTGCAAAATGTAGGACTCTGAGCTATTCCTGAAGCATCATACCTGCCTGCATGGTGCCATGTCCTCCCATAATGATAATGGATTGAAACTCCTCTGAAACTGTAAGTGAGCTCCCTCAATAAAATGTTTTTCTTATAAGAGTTGTCATGGTCATGGTGTCTCTTCACAGCAATAAAAACTCTAACAAAGACACTCCTCCACCATGTGGGTCCTGGGGATTGAACTCAGGTTGTCAGTCTTGATAGCAAGCCTCTTTACCCACTGAGCCATCTTACTGGCTCCCCTTCTGGAGTTTTTTCCCTCTATGTGGTTAGACTTAATTTAAGTCCAGTTTTGCCCAGAGCCAAAGATGGGGTAAGTACCAGTCTTCTGTTCTCACATTTTAAAAACATTTATTTTTATTAGTTTTTACTCATATGTATGAGTGTGTGTTTGCCACATGGGTGTGAATGATACAGAGGCCAGAAGATGGTTGTGGCTCCCTAGGAACTAGAATAACAGGCAGCTGTGACATGGGTCCTGGGAACAGGATTTAGGTCCAAGAGCAGCAGACACTTTTAGCCACTGAGCAATCTCACTAGCCTCAGTCTCACTTCTAAAAAAAATAATGAAACCAGTCAAATGGCCAGGTGAGGTGGTGCTTGCATGCCTGTAATAACAATTCCAGGTCAGCCTGATCTATGTAGTGAGACTTGTCCCACAAAAGGAAAAACCATGGCAAACATCTAGAAGAGAGCAGAGTTGGAGCAGCAGACCTGCTAGGTAGCCTTTCCACATGGGTTAACTGTTTGAAATGCCCAGGCTGGCCTGGAAGACAGCATCCTCCTGTATCAGCCTCCTAAGTTCTGGGGTTATAGACTTATAGCACCGTATCAGACTACTTGGCAGCTCAGACCATTTCATTGAATTTCTGCAGGAGATAAAGACTTCAAAAGGCTGCACTGATGCTGGGTCATGGTGGCATGCATACCGTTAATCCCAGCATTTGGGAAGCAGAGGCTGGCAGATCCCCAAGTTCAAGGCCAGCCTGGCTAGCCAAGGCTACAAAGAGAAACCCTGTTTCAAAAAACAAAACAACAACAACAAAAACAAACCAAAAGGGGGTGGGGTGGGGCGGCTGTACCATTAACTTCAAAAATATATAAATAAAAAGCTGCAACAACATTAGAGATTTTAAGATGCTTAACAATAATCTCATCAATTATCCAACCAATAGTCATTTCCTCTTATTATATTAGGATCTGGTCTCCTCTTCCTTCTCCTCTTTTATTATTTGGTTTTCACAACAGGGTTTCCTCTGTGAAGCCCTGGCTGTCCTGGAACTCTTTTTTTTAGACCAGGCTGTCATGGAACTCACAGAGATCTGCCTGCCTCTGCCTCGCAAGTGCTGGGATTACAGCCATGAGCCGCCGCTATGCCTAGCTCCTTCCCTTTTAAAGGTGTTTAAATATTCATTATTTATCTAATGTGTGTGTGTGTGTGTGTGTGTGTGTGTGTGTGTGTGTGTGTGTGTGTGTGTACATGTGTGAGTGCACCATGGCACACATACGAAAGTCAGAGTATAACTTGTGGGATTTGGTTCTCTTCTTCCACTATGTGGGCTCCAGGGGTCAAACCTAAACTGTTAGGCTGGGTGGCAAATGCCTCCACCTTCTGTGACATCTCGATGTTTCTGTCCTTTCCATTCTTTCCTTCTTCCTTTTTCTTCTCTTTCCTCCTCCTTTTCCTCTTCTTTCTTCATAGGATTTTGCTATGTAACACAGGCTGGCTTCAAACTGGTAATCCTCCTGCTTTAGCCTCCTGAGTGCTGGGATTATAGGCATGTACAACAATGTCTGACTTTCATGAATCTATCTGTCTATCTGTCTATCTGTCTATCTATCTATCTATCTATCTATCTATCTATCTATCTATCTATCTGTACTGGCTAGAGTCATCAGAAAGAACAGAGCCTCAGCTGAGGAAATGCCTCCTTGAGATCCAGCTGTAAGGCATTTTCTCATTTATGGATCAATGAGGGAGGACTCAACCTGTTGTGGGTGGTGCCATCCCTGTGGTCCTGGGTTCTATAAGAAAGCAGATTGAGTAAGCCATCTTCCTGCCTCCAGGTTCTTGCCCTGCTTGAGTTCTGTCCTGACTTCCTTTGGTGATGAACAGCAATTCAGAAGTGTAAGCCAAAAAAACCCTTTCCTCCCCAACTTGCTTTTTGGTCATCACAGGAATAAAAACCCTAAGTGTGACACTATCATTTTACCTGGTGTGTGCTCATGCATTTGGGCACTCATGTGTCAGGTGGATGTGGGAATCAGAGGATAGTTTGTAGGAACTGGTTCTCTCCTCTCACAGGGTGCAGGGACTGAACTCAGGTAGTCAGAAGTGGAGGCAAGCATCTTTACCCACTGCCCCGCCCCGTTACTGTTCTCTACAGCTGATTGTTTGAAATTTCAGATTCTCAGTGTTTCTCTCAGTGCTGGGGACAGAACTCAGGGATTAGTCATGCTCTCCCATCAAGCTCTGCCTCTATTCCCAGATCCTCTAAAAGTTTTTTTATTTTTATTCCTGTTATTTTGTCTTTGAGACAGTGCTTTGGGTATCCTAGGCTGGCCCTAAGATGTTGATGTTGCTACGAATGACCTTGACCTCCTTTTTGATCCTCCCGTCTTGGATTTCAGGCATTCACTGCCATACCAGCCTAAAGAAATGTTTGACTATCTCTTCTTGTTGTTTGTTTTAAATCACAGAAGTAACATATTTATAATAGGAAATAAAACAAGGGGCAGGGAGATGTCACAGGGGACACAGATGCTTGTGCCCAAGCTTGATGACCCAAGTTTGTTCCCTGTGACCCACATGGTAGAGAAAACAATCATACAAGCTGTTCTCTGACCTCACAGCATGATTACCACAGACAATAATAAATTAAATCATTTTCTAAAGGAGTGAAGCTGTGGGCCGGTACACACCTGTAACTCCTGGCTTTTGGGAGACGGAGGCAAGGTCCTGATTTCCCCAGAGGGTCTCCTGGTTCCAGAAGACCACTTCCTTTGGCACGGGACCAGGAAGGACTTACCTTTCAGTTGTCCAGACCCAGGTGTGGAAGTGAAAGGGTCCTCTCTCTCTTTGGCTTCCTCCAAGAACCCCTGTCCTGTTGTGTTCTCTAGACAAACGAGGTCTTCCATTAAGGCCAGGAGGTAGTTAATGTCCATCAGGTTCATAGAGTCCCAGCCTGAGGCTGGTGGCGGCACCTTCAGAGCTTTAAACAGTGAGCTGAGGAGACTCTGTACTCCCTGCAAGAAAGAAAGTCCAGTGAGGTGAGGGAACATGAGCCGCAGGCCAGAGCGTGTGGCATAGAAGCCAAGAGCATGAGTACTGAGCTGCGTGTTCCATGTGTGGACTCTAGCTCTGCCCTGTGAGGCATGATAGGCAACTACTAACTTTTCTAGGGCCTGAGTGGACTGGTTCCAGGCTGCGTTACTCAAATGACTGAACATAGCAAGTGTTGTATACAAGATTATCAAGTACATAAGTGCAGGGAAAACGTATCTCTTTTATGAGCGTCTAGCCTGTGGTGGTGGTGGTGGTGGTGGAGTCCTGCAACACAGCACTATTCTTAGAACTATACTGCTGCCATCTTCAGTTCTCTGGGCCTGCTTACGAAAGAGTGTAACTGGCCTGTTGACTATTTACCTTCCCTAGTTGAAGGAGGAGCAGGGAGTGGCACCAGGCTCGCCATTCCCAACCAACCTCATGCAATTCTGGCATAACTGCATATGGTGCTGGGGGGTCGGAAAGATGACAGGGGCTAGAGGATATTGGCGAGGAAGGAGGAGAGGGACCTCCATCTACGCAGTCATAAAGAAGCCATTGTTACTGCTGTGTGTTGCCCTTCCAAAGTGGCTGCTTTGAGGTCACCGATGCTCCTGTCTGTAACCCCTCACCATTGTAAATAAGCCTACTGAACTCATTGCTTTCCACAGCATGAAGTTTGATGGCCTCATACCTTGGCTTGTTGTTGGAGCCTAGGAGGACCTGGATATTGCTTATGTCTCCCCCCAGGGAAAGAATTTCAGCAGCAGAGTTCCCGTAGGGTGGTATATCTTGCACACAATAGATGCTCAAAGAGTATGCATGTGTAAACATGTATCACGATGTATATGATACGCATGTCAGTCCAAATGTTTTGTATGTAATATGCATGTCAGTCTGCATGTTTGCAGCTGGTGAATCCTGGGAACTGAGCCTGCCAGGCAATCCAGGCTGCCAGACCCCATGCACCAGCCTGCACTCCTCCGCTGCCAGCTTAGAGAGTCCCTCTATTCACACATAAGCTGAGGCTGAGGACATGCCTTGGTCACCATTTCAAGTGTGCGAATTCCCTCATCCATGGGCTGCAGTGAGGGAGTCAGATTGGGGGGTCCCTGCTCCTGTCTTCCGTCCTTCTCTAGTGGGAGCCGAGGTCTGGTGTTCCGGAAGATCTGGACAATCAGGAGGTTAATAGGAAACACAAGGATGGAGCTCTCCAGCCCAATCATCACCTCCTGCCAAGTGAACTCAATTTTGCCTGGGGAAAAAAGGAGCATAGGAGAGGTCAAGTGGAAACAGATGCCCAAAGTCAGTTCCCTCCACCCACCCTCTCAGCAGAAGTAAGCTATGGACCAACAGTGATGGACCAACCAAGCACAACTCCTGGGAGGTCACTTGTAAGTCTTTAGATGTCTACCTAGCTCCTAAGAGGACCTTAGCTTACCCAGGGTTGTGAGTCAAGCCAGATAGTTCACTCTATCAAGGCAGCTTACCAAGAGCCTGGGCCATGTGGCTCAACTTACTTTTTAAGGGGGCCAGAGGCTAAGGTCAGCTGTGCAGGTACACTGCCAACCATATCTATTTGGTCCCAATGAAGACTAAATCAAGGGGCTGAGGAGGACCGCTCAGTCTGTGAAGTGCTTAGCATGTAAGCATGGGGACCTGTACCCCAGGATCCCAAGCCAGGTGTGGTGGCACCTGCTTGTAATCCCAGTGCTGAGAAGAGGAACAGGCAGATCCCTGAGACATAGTAGCCAGCCAGTGTAGTCCAACTGGCAAGCTAAGGTCCCTGTCTGCAACAATGAGGTGACTGGCTCCTGAGGAACAACACCCGAGGCTGAACTCTGATTTCCACATGCATGTGCACACATGTTCATGCACATGTGCACACAAGACACAAAGACTGAGTCAAGTCAGGCATGGGGGCTCACACCTGCCATGGGTAGTGAGTGACTTTGATGCCAGCTTAGTCCACAGTGTAATACCTTGCACAGAATATCAGACTGATCAAACAAAAACTTAAGAACTCCTCTAGATTGCAGAGGTTTTGCCAGGGCATGAGACTGGTGCCCACCAGCCCCAGCCATCATAAGTAATGCTGAGATTTACCCAGGTCCATCTTCTGCTCAGCTGGGTCCTTAGGGATGCCCCAGAACATGATGCTGGTTAGCATGGTGCAGAGAAGCAGAGAGAAGCAACAGGACACCCTCTGCACGCGTGTGAAGCTGCTCCGACGAGAGTTACAGAAGACCGAATACCAGATGTGTCCATCCTGGAAGCCCGTGGAGGTTTTAGTGAAAAACAGGTGGCTGTGAGCAGGCCAGAAGAGAGAGACAGGCACTTATGGAGACAGGTATGCAGAGAGGCTAGTCTCTTAAGAGCAGAAGGTGATTCACCTGTAAGATTTAGCATGTTTGGGGGCCAGCAAAATGGTTCAGTGGGCAAAAGCCCTTACTGCATTGGAACTATGAGCCACATTTTTAAAAAGCTGGATTAGATTGTTGCTGCTGAGGGGCCTAGCCCCCAGCAGGTCAGAGAAACTGAAGATGTAGTGTAGGTGAACTGCTGGACAGACAGACACAGGAACTTTATCTGAGAGCAAAGCTTGTTCTTACTCTGTTCTTTCTCTGTTCTGTTCTTCTGCCCTGATGTTTCTTTCTTCTTTATCTCAGTTGTCTTCCCTCTTTGTCTTTCCTGGTATTACCTTTTATGTCTTCCTGATGGTTCCCTCCTATTTCTTTTCTGATGCTTTTCCTTCTAAATCTTTCCTTCTCTTAGCTATTATTTTTTTCTTACCCCCCCCCCTTTTTTTTTGTTTTTCAAGACAGGCATTCTCTATGTAGCTTTGGAGCCTGTCCTGGAACTCACTCTGTAGACCAG